GAGAACGAGCTTCACAAAGTACGCCAACCATTTGGAGTGTTTGGATGGTATCAGGCTGCCTCCGAGAATGAGCTTCACAAAGTACGTCAACCATATGGAGTGTTTGGATGGTAAAATGATGCTGCTAAGAAAGATCTTAATGACAATCACCCAGTGACGCCATACTTCTTTGAAACAGATTTACATCAAGGGAAAAAAATGAATCTTCAGTCTCTCAAAAACTACAATCCAGCACCCATTTTGCCACGCAAAGTTGTAGATTCCATCGCTTTCTCATCGGACAAAATTGAGGAAATTCTTAATCACTTCTCTGTTGATAAGGACTCAGAACGTGCTAAAGACATCAAGAAAACAATCAAAACGTGTGAAGAGCCTGCGGGTAACGGAGAGGTAAAACATTGTGCCACTTCTTTGGAATCTATGATTGATTTCACCTTATCTCACCTGGGAACAAACAATATTATAGCAATGTCCACTGAAGTAGAGAAGGAAACTCCAGAGGTGCAAGCATATACCATCGAAAAAGTGGAAGAGAAAGCAAATGGCAAAGGTGTTGTATGTCACAAAGTAGCTTACCCATATGCAGTACACTTTTGCCATGATGTAGGAAGCACTAGGACATTTATGGTGTCTATGGTGGGTGCTGATGGAACAAAAGTTAATGCAGTATCAGTCTGCCATGAGGATACTGCATCCATGAACCCTAAGGCATTGCCTTTTCAGTTGCTCAACGTTAAGCCTGGAGACAAGCCTATTTGCCATTTCACTTTGGACGATCAAATTGCCCTGTTTCCTTCTCAAAACGCAGTTCTTCAAGTGGCTGAAAACTAACATGAAGAACGTTCAGTCATTACCTGCTCCTTTGTTGCAATAGTCCCAATGCTTCATCTGAAAATGTATCTCCCTGATGTAAATACTGTTTATTGCAATGTTTTGTGTAATAATGCTTGCCCTGATGCAAGTACTGTTTAACTGTGTTAATCATAGTTCATCATGCACGTTGTTTGCATGTGTGGATGAAAATGTTTGGCTTGTATTTCAAATATGGTTGATGAATATATGTGGTAATGGAGATTATGACATCTTGTTTTCAAATAGATTTAAGAGTCTTTCTTGCAATATTCCTCAACACCAATTATCTTAGAATCATCCAAACAGTATAAATCAACTAACTATATATATATGCTTTCTTACAAAACTAAATGATATGATATTATTTCACTTCCCATAAAAATGAATAAACCAATTTAGTTTAAACGATCAAATACACATATTCAAAGTATAATAGTGTATAACATTCAAATTTATCCATCTCCAAGCACCATTAAAACTCTCACAACGTTATACAATGTATAATAGTGTATGACATATTAGGGAAAATACAATGTACAATTTATGTTTGTATAAAGCGAGAGAGAGATTTGATATACAAATACAGATGTTTTAACGCGATCCAATTGTATACAAATTCAAATTTTATGCAGATATACAAACACAATCATTGATACATATACATAGTAGTTACATATATACAATTATCTAACCGATATACATATACAATTCACTTCTCTTCACTCTCTCCCTCTCTCCTCTCTCTCATAATCTCGCTCGTCACTCTAGCCTAACACAAAGAACATATACATATACAAACACAATTTTCATAGACACAAATGCCGCGATTCATACAAATTGATTTGGTTTATACAAATCAGATGCTCCAACGCAAATAGCAAAATTATAGCTATAGAGCGCTAATATAATTTTTATGTTTGTTATACCTAAAATTTATATTATTTCTGCCTTTTAGTATTTTTTTTATTTGCTCGAAAAATAATTGTTCCTCTGCTTAAGGGGTACACTATCAATGATACCTAAAGCTTGTTCCTATTTGTATGTCTTCGGACGAATCTTATTAAATAAATAAATGTAACATACTGTTTGAAATAAAAAAAATTGATACCTAACGTACCGTTTGAAATAAAAAAAATTGATACCTAAAGCTCATTCGAACTTGCCTACTTTGTATGACAAAGTGTTGAGACGTACTGTAAGTGACAAGACACATTATGATTGAAAAATATATATATTTAATGAATTGGTTTGTAAATGATTAAAAATCACAGTGAAAACAAATAATACAAAGCATATTATAAAGGTTATGAAAAGAATACAATGATTGTTACTTACTTATAATAAAATAAAATAAAAGGGATCACATGAAATGCATGGGAAGAGTTGTTTTGTTGTATATTTTTTCTATTTGCCATTTGATTATTGATATGATAAAAACCGTACTGTAGCAAATAAATAAATAAAAATGGGAAAATTTTCAAAACAATAATATTTTAGCTTTTAATGGGATTCCTTAGTAATAGTTTCACTATTTATTTAAAATGTCAATATTTTAATTTGTTATGGATTGAGTTATGTATTTATTTTATTTTGATTAATTTGAAAGAATACAAACAATTAATAACTGAATAGAGAAAATCATGGAACAAAAAATTTCAAAAAAGGTAATTTTTCTAAAAAATTTAACATCAGTTATGTTTTTGAAAGGGCACATGTTGCCAATTTTCTTTCTAGCGTTTTTTTCTTTGTTCTTAAGAATTTCAATTTTTTTTAAAAAAAATAGTTGTTTGTATTTTATATCTTATATGAGTGGAAGTGTTGGAAAATTTCTAATGTCCTCTGTTTTGGATATTTAAATGTTTGAAATTGTAGTAATCTACATTAGCATTCATACATCATATATTGTTTGAATTTTTATACATTCATAATTAATAATTTCTAATTTTGTTTATAGGGTTACTAATATATGCACAAGTGAATACGGATATGGATTTGAGTTTGGTATAAAAAAAAGTCAAAAAAAAAAAAGCAAAATAGTAGACGAAGAAGAAGAAGAAGAAAGAGAGACTGGGAGAAGAAAGTTAATTTGTATTCATACCAAGATTGTATTCATATTAATTTTTGTTTGTCAATTGTTTTTCTTTTACTCAACATTTGTATTTTTATTAAGAACATTGTGTTTCTTTTTTAGTTTGTAGTCATTCAAATAAGTATGTCAAATTGATTTATATTTCTTAAGCATAGATGTATTCTATTTTTTTTCACAGCCAATTTGTATTTATTTTTTTAGAATATTGTATCTTTCCTCAACAGATTGTATTATTTTCACCATGTATGCTATTTTTTTTCCAGAATCTTGTATCTCTATTTCTTTTATAGTCAATTTATATATTTTTTAGAATATTGTATCTTTCCTCAACATATTGTATTATTTCCACCATGTATGCTAAATTTTTTTCCAGAATCTTGTATTCTTTCATAAATCATATTCATATGCAATGATTAGCACTTGTTTTCTTTTTCTTTATATTGCACTTGTTTTAAACTGTTTTATAATGAAATGAGTTCAGTTAAGTATTCATGAATTGAGAAGAGCCTAGGTAAGTGTTTCTTTCAGATCCTTTTCAAGCCTATGTTATGTTTAGCACTCCAACTCGCATACTCGTACATTCAATGTACTGATGTCAGCTGGCCTGCATCGTCTTATGATGCAGGTAACTAGGATCGGCATTCTGACGCATCGTTGATCCAGTGAGCAGTTCAGAGTTTGTTGGTGAGCCTCCTTCCATTCCGGAGGATCCATTTCTATTGTTTTCTAGTTTAGTTCATTAGGATGTTGTGGAGTTTGTCCCAACATCCATCTCAGTTGTTATTAGAGGCTTCATAGACAGTCAAATGTTGGTTCTTTAGTCTTTTCATTGTCATTATTCCATGTTGAGACTTGAGTTTGCCTTAATGGCCAGTTGAATGTTCCTTTATGACATTCCAGTTTATTATACGAACTTACCTTTGTTGAGTTTAAGTCTTCCGTTGAGTTAAGTAAGCCAGGCCAAGGGTTCGCTTGGGGCCAACAATGGTCTTCGAGTGTCAGTCCCGTCCAGGGTGTAGGCTCGGGGTGTGACAAAAACATAATAAAATAAAAGTTGCTTTCTTTGAAATTGTAACTGATGAGAATTTTAAGTGATATGTTTCTATTTTAAAATATTATCTCTCTTGATTTTCTCCTTTCTGTTATTAAATAATTGTATTCTTGCAAATCAAACAAATAAGAAACTACATAAATCAAATACATAACAAATTAAATTATTGACATTTTAAATAAATATTGAAAGTATGGCTAAGGGATCCTATTAAATGTCAAAATATTGGCATTTTGATTATCAGGGTTCAATTTATTTTCTAAAATATTGACATATTGACATTTTTAATAATTATTTTAAAGTGTAGATATTTTTAATAATTATGTTAAAGTTTGTGACTAGTTTGCTAATTTTCCCTTATTATTTTTGTTATCATTATTTTTCTCTCTATGCTATTTCTTTTTCTCAATTTATCTTTGTTTAAATTTATTAGACATATTTTAGATACTTTTATCTTTTATTCTTCTTATTTAAACTTCTCATTTTATTTCTACATAAGTCTCTTTCCATGTACTAACGATGAATTATTATTAAATTTGAAATTGATTTACAAAAAAAAAATATATATAAAATAAATTGAATTAAAGTTAATCGAATGAAGAAATTTTAAAGTTCGTGAATAATCTTAATTATAAAAATCTAATTAATTGATCCTCCCCCCCCCCCCCCCCCCCTTAATTTTATACTATTTCTACTAAACTAAACTTATTTGTTCTATTCATCATTTTTTTTTCATGAATGTCTAATCTAGTAAATTGAATTAAATGAACTAAAAAATCGACGATGTCAATTATTTATCTTCTGAATATATATATAGTGGTTGAATTTAAGAAAAATTCAAAAAATAGAGTAGAACATTGCAATATAAAAGAGAGAGAAAACACAAGAAATATTTTTTTAAAAAGCTCGATGAAATAGGGTAAAAGTAAAAAAAAACTAAATGCGGCATGACAAGGCAAGTTAAATTTATTGGATTCAGATTACTAGTTTCCTCTTATGTCGCTCAGTTTTTCATCTTATAATTTTCACATGTTTACTTCTTTATATTTTGAACCCCTTCACAGAAATCCTGGATCCGCCACTGCTTCTAACCGTTTCTATAATGAAAAGATTATAAAGATTATAATTTATTAAAAAAAAAGGAATCACGAGAAATGCATGGGAAAGATTGTAGTATTGCCATTTATGGACTGTTTATTATTCTATTAGTCAAATACAGATTTTTTCAATAAAATGAACATTATTATTACTGCATATGACAATGACGTGCCATTATAAAATTATATGAGGACGCAGTTCCCGAAAAATCATACTTGTAATATTAATTTAAGGGGACAGAACTGATATAATATTTGACTCGTCCATTTGTCACCATTAGTTACAGAGAATAAATTCAGCATGAGGGGCAGAGTGTGTACTGTGTAACTATCTCAGATCTAGAATGAACATATCTCAAATTATTTAATTATAAGATAAGATAACTATATAATTTAATATTTATTACATATTTCCATAAAGGCACTTGTTTAACCCCTATAAATTGGCTAGCAATTTTCTCACAATCATATCCCATAGCCAAACATTATATTGTGTGCAAATACATTTACAATGGAGTTGCATCACCAATATTATTTCTTCACATTTTTTTCTGTGAGTAAATTAATAGTATTTAATTTATTTTTAATGTTCAATTGAAAAAAAAATAAGTAGATTATATATGAACAATTAATTAATTAATTGTTGTTGTTGTGTTTAGGTAATTTTTGTGGTAAGTCATGCAGCAAATTTATCTCCTGAGGTGTATTGGAGAGTCAAATTGCCTAATACTCCCATGCCCACGCCTATCAAAGATGCACTACACATTTCTGGTAAGATTCATTAAAACAGAGAAAAACAATTTTACTATTTATATTATATTAAATAGAGAAGGGCTTAAAATGTCTCTCAACTATTTTTCAAATAAATATATTGTTTATATTCTTTTTAACACATTTTTTTCTAATAATATTTTTTTAAATTAGCAAATGTTTATCTTACTTCAATT